AATATTTTTTAAATATCCCATAAAAATACAAAAAAGAGCTATGATACAAAACATTTCAAATTGTATGATGTAGTAAAAAGCAATAAATAGAAAACAAAAGCAATGTGAATTTAATGAACTATCTTCATATCAGACTTGTCCCAACAGCCTATGGCAAATCAGGTATGTGAAAACTTTTCAGTTTAGGGTATTTATTTTCTCTGAATTAAAATGTCTATTGTAATTAAAAGACAGCACATTATAAATATTATTTTAATATTTTTCTCAAAACAGAAACTCACCTTTTAAAATTTCCACAGAAAAGAAATTTGACTGTCTTTATGATTACGCCCATTAGGAAGGTATTTTCAACCACAGACTGGGAGGCATGCTATCATGTTTACCGGGACATTTCACAGTGACTGGCACTGTATTTAGAGAGGGAAATTAATTGGAAGACTGGGAAAGCAAATCTCCCTTCCCCTTCAATTTAACACACATTTATTAAACTTTTACCATGTCAGACATTGTGTCAGGTGCCAGGAATGATAACAAGGGAATATTATATTTTCCCCAAAGAATTTACAGATTAACCACAATAATAACAAAAACGTACCAAATGCTTGTATTATGTCAGAAACTACAGAGTTCCCATTCTTTGTCTGAGTCCATCCTAGACTTCTGACACAGGCGCTCCATTAGTCCCAGCGTGAGAGTGGAAGGAACAGAAGGTTCAAGTTCAACGTCTTTCCCAAGTTCCTAATCTAGGGAGCTGCAGGCAACTTGAATCTAGGTTTGCCCACTCACTAGTTCACGCTTAAGTAGTTTCTCAGACCGTTCGAGTTTATCACGGAAGATTAGCTGTGGACACATAAAAATGATTGTGCACATGATAAGTGCAACGGAAGAGGTGTGCACAGAGGGTCAAAGAGGTTAATCCCACCTGGCGGAAGTAGGGCAGGCCTCGGCAAAAGGCCATGCGGTGCCAAGGCAGGGAGAGGTACTCGCATCAGCAAAGCCTGGCTCCCGGAACCGCAAACAGCTTCACAAATGCAGCCATGTCACCTGGCCAAGAAGCAAGCATGGATTAGGAAATACAGGAAGGCAGAAAGGCAAGTTTCCCATTCAATTCAATAAACATTTATTAAAGATTTGCTGTGGTCAGCATTGTGCCAGGGATTAAAAAAAAAACCGGATGGAGCTGATGTCCATAATCTCAGCTATTCAGGAGGCTGAGGCAGGAGGATCTAGCCTGAGTCTAGAGTCTGGCCTGCACAATGTAGTGAGACCTTGTCTCAAAATAAAACAAAAAGGGCCAAGGATGTAGTTCAGTGGTAGAGCCCCTGCCTAACATGAAAGACTCTGGGTTCGATTCCTAGTTCAAAAATGCTACAAAGCCAACAACAGAAACTGGATGGAACCTGGGCTCTTATTCAGGGCTATCAGAAAGCCAAGTGGGAGTGTGAGACAGTACCTCGATTATCATGTGGGTTAATTTCCCGTCGTGGGTGTACAGTACTCCGCTCACAAACTCCTTAGAGCTGCACTGTCTAATTTGACAGTCAGTGCTGTTTAATCTTAAATTCTAATTAAATTAAGCAAAATTTAAAATTTAGTTCTTGGTATCACTAGCCACAGTGCAAGTATTTAATATCCTCATTGGATTAATGGCTACCGCGTTGGTAGGCACAGAGTCCTTCTCTATCACTTTGGATAGTGGTCTTTTAGAGAATCTACTGAACGCTGGGGGCTCTACCCAGAAGTATTTTGCTTTCCTTTTCAGGGGTTCTCAGACTCCTCTGGACTGGTTGTTCCGTGTGTTCCTGTTTAAGAATCCCTTCTTAAACTCTCACGGAAAACTTCCCGTCAGAAAGGAATCCAAATTCACATACTTTAAAGCCAAACGGCTTCAACCCCTTCCACGAGGTCTCTATTACACAGTTTCATATTTATTTACTTATTTACTTGTTTTTGTCCTGGTTCTTGATATTCCCACCTCCCAAAACACCAGAGAAAGGCTGGGACCTCTTCTATCTTCTTCTTCTTTCTCTTTTCTATCATTCTTGTTTGTAGGTGTATCCTCAGAGCCTAACAATGTCTGCCAAGTAATAAGTGTTTATAATGTCTCAATACTTATGTCATGAAAACAGACCATATGTTGATAACAGTTACTAAGCAACGATCATCAGAATCAGGATTTTGGTAGGTTCTTTAGGAAATGGCATATCTTTTACTGACAGTGGACGTAGCAAAGCTTTTTCTCAACAGCAGCATTTGATACTCAGATTTCCTTACGAGATAGCAAGGCTGAGATTCCATTTTGCAGAAGAAGTTGGGACAGAAAGAGGGTAGGCAGTTGTTGAAGCCCTCACAGTCGGTTGACAGTGGACGTTGCTTTGGTAGACCGTTCTGGAACACTTTTGTCTTTAGTTGGAAGCTGCCTGCATATTCACTCTGTACTTTGTAGAGATGTGATGAGCACCATGAAATACTAGGAATGGGCGTGCTTTGAAAAGAAAAGCATTACGTCATGTTACTGTATACTGTTTTCCTATCTTTGCCATGTTCTACTGTTCTAGCACATTATTATCTATAGCTTTGTAAAAAGCTTCCTGTCTTATTCTGGAGGATGCCATAGATTAATGTGACATTGATCTCATTGATCTGAGGTGGAGCTCTACTGCATTTCTTTCTTTCTTTTTTTTTTTTTTTTTTTTTTGTACAGGGAATCGAAGTCAGGTCCTTGAGCTTGTGCACCAGGCCGCAAAACCACTGAGCTAAATCCCCAGCCCCTGCATTTCTTGATTATGGAAATATTTGTTCTGAAGAAGTGATGCTTAGGGATCTTGAATTGTCATAATCTTGAGTTGTGAGGAAAAAAATCACCCATTTTCTTGAGTTCTAGAGAATCCAGATCCCATCCTTGATTGGTCTTGGGCAGGTTGCTTACCTTCCTACACCTGTGGTAGCGAGAACCAGGACAGCAATGGAAGAAGAATTCAGAGGCCAGGTTGGAGCATAAAGTCTAAGAAGAAATGAAATCAGTGTCCCTACTACTTTGTAGTTCTTTTCAATCCCATTTGCTCAGAAATTTTACTCACATTCAGTTATGAAGTGGATCAGGATTTTGTTACATTTTATCTTTTCTTTTCTTCCTTGTAATCACTCTGTATTTTTCTTCTTCCACTTTGTGGTCCTAAGAGCAGCACTACTAAAATGTTTTTTTCCTGTCAGATGTACTGACTTTTCTCCTCGTTTATATAGGTAAGTCAGGCTTGAGAATGGAAACTGAATTTTTCAGATATTCTATATTGTGCGCTCCGGTAGCCATTTCCTGGGTCAGTGCAGAATGTATTACTTTCGGCAACATTTATGGTGTATATGTTCCATTTTGCCATTGTAGAAAAGTCTTGAATTCCGAGGCTCAAAGCTATTAGTTATATGCTCACAGACATTGAGGAATAAGGAGCTAGGAGAGCAGCTAGTACAGGTCTTCTCTCTATGAGACCTGGGCAGCATAAGTAAGTGATGGGTTTTAAACCCTATGTAATTAGATTTAGAACTATGACTCCCAGGATGTGGAGCCAGAGGAGACTTCCCAAGCGAAGCGATACTTACAGCAAAATTTGTAGACAGGCGATTAGAGGGTTCAAGGTCTGGAAGGCGATAGCTATGTTGAGAAGCGTTGCAGTCTCAGGACTCAGCCCATGAGAAAAGCCCTGATCTGGAAGCAGCAAAGTTCATTCAAGGAACAGAAACAGGTGTGGTGGCATGTGCCTGTCATCCCAGCACTAGGAGTCTGAGGTAGGAGGACGGCCTCAAATTCAAGGGCAGCCGGGACTACATAGTAAGTTCAAGGCCAGCCTGAGCTACATAGCGAGATCACCTCAAAAACCAGAAACAAAAAAATTTAAAAATAAAGGAACAGAGAAGTGGGAACATGGAAAATGGCTGGACAAGAAAGGGTGGGTCTGGCAGAGCCGTACAGGCCTTGTTGTAGGTTATGCATAGTAGAGGCATTGAAGGGAGTGACAAACTCAAGTACAGAGAGCAGAGGAAGAGGAAGGCTTGGACTATCACGTCTTCGAAGCATCTCGCACCTGCTACTGCCCCAGAGAATCACGATTCATGGCATGGGCTTGGAGGTCAGACCCCTCAAGTGCTAACCTCAGCTCCTTAGGAAGGTAGGAATGAAAATGTTTCACTTCTACAAACGAGTAACACAGGATGATCCTTTGTAATTTGTAACATGAGAGCATACTATTATCTGCCTCCTAGGACTATGTGAGAAATAAATGAGGGTCTGGCATGAGAAAGCCGATCAAGTTTTCTGCCACTTGCAGTAATAATGATATCAGGCATCTTCTGAGCACTTCCAAGAGCGTTTTCCATCTATGGGTGCAGATTCACATCCCTAATTGCTAATTCCACACTCCCAAAATGCTGAAAACTAGTTTGCTTGTTTTTTTAAGTTTGGTACACACCACTTTGGAGCAAAACCTGACCTGAATGGATGTGAAACTATTTGTGGTTGTTATTTATTCCCCTTTGTGTGACCATCCATACATTTTGCTGTGGAAATTGTGGCTGGGTTTGAGTTCGATATGTAAATTCCACTGCAGTCTGTGCTAGGATCCACGGAATTTCCAGTTCTAAAACCATCTCACCCCCAGGGTTCCAGATGAGGAACTGTGGATTGGTGTTATCTCACCCCATTGTCCACAGAACCTCCAATACCGATCCTTTCATTCCAACCTCCTTGTGCAAACCAAGCCTCAACAGTAGTTTAAGAAATTGCTCAAAATCCCCCTGTTCAGAGCGGTGGGCTGGAATTTTGACCTAGGGTTGTCAGACAGTGTTTTGGAGAATCAGACACATTTACACGTGGTCTTATCTCTTATTTATGTGCACTACATCTTTTAGTAATTTCCATAATTTAAATTTTCCTATTTTCTAAAAAGCCATAGTTTTATGTTTTTAGGAAACAGAAACATTTTTATAACCTATTAGGTTTTCGTGACCTAGAGGTTTTATATGTAAGCATCTCATTCAACAATAACAGTGGTAGGAACGATTACTCATATTTTAAGGTCAGTTATAATTTACTGAATAATTATGTACTAAATTTAGGAAAGTGCTTGCTGTACATTATCTCATTTAATTCTTACATCAACCCAGTGAGGTAGGTATTATTATAATCTGTTTTATGAAGAGAAAGTTGTGACTTAAAGATTTTGAGGAACTTGCCAACTGCACACACAGATAGGGCAGGAGTCTGGTTAAAATTCAGGTAGACGGATTTCAGAAACATTATTATTATTCTTATTTTGGTACTGGGGATCAAACTCGGAACCTTGCACTTGCGAGGCAGGCACTGGACAGAAATATAATTTTTTAAAATTCTTTGTTTTATAGTATTTAAAACAACACGTACACATGGCAAAAGTCACAAACAATAAATTATTGTTCAATCTCCTACCCCAGAAAATACTGTAATGTAATATTGCCTCCTACAATCCCACAATCACTATCATCCTGTTTATGTATCATGCAGAAATTTACCTTGCCTACAAATACTGACACACACACATGCGTGCACACACACACACACACACACACACACACAAGTAACCACATGAATATCCATATGTTCTACAGTTTACCTTCTTCAAATAGTACCATGTAGTGGAACCTTTCCATACCGGTCATATAGAGATCTATATCACTGTTTCACATCACTGTTTCACATTCAGTGTAGGGATGCAACAGAAACATTTTTTAACCAGACTCCTATTGATGGATGTTTAAATTGTTTACAATTTATGGTTCTTACAAAGTTGCTGCAGATAAGAGTTTTTATTTGCATGAAAACACTTTTTCATGTAGATTCAGGCATAGCTCTAAAATAAGTTTTCTAGCACCAGAGAATTTTTGCTGGGTATTTGAGGTTTAAATCTTGAAAGATATTGACAAATTGTCCTCTAGGAAGGTTTGTTTTTCTAACAGTGAATCAATCTTATCAAACTTTCAAAATCTTTGAATTTAATTATTGGCAAAGGCACATGCATTTTTATATGTCTATAAAACACTTGTATTTATTTCCAAAAACTGTTGTTTGTGTCCTTTGTTCTTTTTTCTGTAGGCTGCTGAAAGTTTTCTTATTAGTTTACTAGAGCTTATTATGTATTAATGATATTTCTTTGGTCTGTCTTCCATGTTGCAGATGTTTTTCTGAGCTTATAAACTCTTATTTATGTACATGTTAAAGTTAATTTTATATAGTTAAATATACTTGTCACGGTTTATATACGTAGATTTTATACTTCATATAGTTAAATGTATATATTTCATTCTTAGAGCCCACACTCCTAACCATTGAGTCAAACTGACTCTCTAGGTTCTAGAATGATGACATTAATCTTAATTCTGTTGTCCGTTTTGCTCAGGTGTGCTATCAGAGCAAGCAGTGGGTCCTCTGGGACAGAGCCTAGATGTGGAACCATACTCCCAATACAGCAATGTCCAGTTTCCCCAAGTTCAACCACAGATTTCCTCATCCTCCTATTATTCCAACCTGGGCTTCTACCCCCAGCAGCAGCCGGAAGAGTGGTACCCTCCTGGGATCTACGAACTCCGGCGAATGCCTCCTGAGACTGTCTACCAGGCAGAGACCGAGGTGGCAGAGATGCCCGTAACGAAGAAGCCCCGGATGGGTGTCTCAGCAGGGAGGATAAAAGGGGGCGAGCTGTGTGTCGTTTGTGGAGACAGAGCGTCTGGGTATCATTACAATGCACTGACTTGTGAAGGCTGCAAAGGTGAGTGAGCGTCTACTGATCGGCAATTTTCTCTTTGTTAAAGCTCTTCTACCTTGATGGTTGAAATCCTTGAACTAGATTCTCCCCATTTTCTCCTTCTCTGCGTTTACCTTCTCTCCTTCATTGAACTCCCCTAGATTTCTATGAAAAGTCTGTTAAAGTGTTTAGCTTAGCTATAAGTAATCGTAGGCTACGTGAGGCCATATGTACAACCCACAGACAACGTTGCCCTGATTGGGGAAAACCTGAGTGTTTCCTCTATCTATAATACAAAAGGGTGTTCACTTTTACCTGTCTTCATCAATCTAGTAGTGGAAGTTTTAGCCAAAGCAATTAAGCAGGAGAAAGAAATATAAGGCATATACATAGGAAAAGATTAAGTACGATTATCCCTGTTTGCAGATATGGGACTAGATATAGAAAAAACTAAAAATTTCACAAAACAATTATTAGAAGTGATAAACAAATTCAGTAAAGTAGGATATAAAATTAATATACAGTATTAGCAATGAAATTGTTGAAAAAGAACCATGAAAGCAATCACATTCAGATTGCTACCCAAAAAATCAAGATTATTAGGAATAAATTTAAACAAGGAAAGACCTCTACAATAAAAATTACAAAACTGTAATGAAATTTTGAAAAGCTATTAGCCAGGATCATGGTGTAATAAGACATAACGTTTTTCCTTTAAAAAATTTAAGTGCGTGTGTAGAGTTAAGAAGCTGTTGTACATTTATGATTTTTTTTGTATTAAATTCTTTTATTGGTACATTGTAGGTATATAACACAATTACA